AAATATATCTGTCATTTGTGTGTTTTTAGCTTTCTTCCTGTATGGGAAGCTTTTCAGAATTTGAAACATTAGTGCAGTGGTTTATGTTAAAATAAACCTTTGGGTTAAGTTGTAGCAAGCAGGTTTTTCTTGTGTTTCATGTGAATTTGGTCTTAAATTTTTATTTCAAGTGGCATTAAAAAGTCTTAAAAAGTCTTGAATTTTACTCGGTTTATGCTGTAGAAACCCTGAATAATAAGGGGCTAATTTACATTTAGCACCAGAACATGCTAGCAGCAGGCACGACGGAGCATAAATCTCCAGATTTCACACATTTTGACATTTATTTGCTGCATTAAAGCTGAAGAGACTGAGCTCTGAAATAAAGAGCTGATGAAGCTCCATCTTTCAGTAGAAGCTCTTACTGCTGCGAGCTAACAAGCTAACAGGAGCTAGCATTCTTCTTCATCCCTACACCAGGGGCTTTATGTAGAGTTCCCCCTACAGGTTTTAGTGGGAACAGTTTAGTAGATCTCAGCGTCTTATACCCCGGTGCGCTTATTTTTTATACGCTTCCAGTTAAAAAAAAAAAATGTTGTGGGCGTGGCTTATAGTAAGGCGCCTCTATAGTACGGAAAATATGGTACTTTGATGCAGCTTCTTTAGCGTCACCGTTTGTGGCTTCGCCCCCCCAGTGGAGGGTGTTGGTGACTTTGGTGAGTTTTCCTAATGACTGTATGAAGGCCATATCCGATATATCTGTATTACGGACGGGACCAGTCCCCGTTTGGGACCATCTGTCCCCGACTAAAGCTTACCCTGATTTTACTGTTCTAAAAATGAGGAGGAAATGTTGCTTATAGACTGTCATTACGGTAGAAAGAGGACTTAAGCATGTTACGTGCAGAAACAGCTGTTAGCTGATTGGCAGCTGTTTCCGAATTCCTCGGAGCTCAAGAAGAGCATGCGCGACATTATTATTATTAAATTCATAGGAGCAAAACATGCAGAAATTAATGCTTAGTTTCATATGTTTCTGCCCAAACATTTCTTTGTAAAGGGAATAATTAAGATCATACAAAATGGGTTTGATCTCTACCTCCAAACTGGATTTAATGAAACTTATAAGCCTCTTATAAGTATAAAATAAATATTTTGATCGAGATAAGAAATCTGCTTCCTGGTATGTTGAAGTACCAATATTTTGCATCCAATAATTAAAATAAACAGTTTTGGTTTTTGGGAATAGTGGGAATGATCTAATTTGTAGTTAGCAATCTGTCCTTACAGGAATTTGATTATATTATATCTGATTAGTGTAAGATTGATAGAAGAGGAGAGGAAGAAGATTAGAAGACTGATAGAAGATTGAATGAGAGCGAAGGAAAATGGGAACACTGATGGAAAGAACAGTTGAAGAGAAGGAAGAAAAATGTACTTAGAGAGTAAAACAGAGAGCAGGCAGAAGTCAGCTAGAAAGAAAAGAGGAGAGAGAAGAAGACTGAATGACCAGATGGCTCTAATAAACACTATCGATTGATTGTTTAATTCATGTTGGGAAATTGGAGCGGCACAATGCTTGATTTTACACTTGATTTTTGTTGTGGCATCCCTAATAAATACGTAAAAATGGATGAAAACATCAATCTCCTCCTTTCCTGGTTTAATTCTGATGATATGTCTTTCTTTTTGTCTGTGAGATGGAAATATCGCCCAGATTAGATTTCAGAAATCCGGTCACCTTATATTAATATATCCTTTTTATTTGCTCTGATGTAATTTTATGTGGATAAATTTTGGGTTTTATTGGGTGTAAAACATATAAAAAAACAGAAATTCGCTGTATTTGAAGAGTGTAGTGTAAAATGTTGTATTAAATAAGCGGTTTATTAAAAGAAGAACTTGAAAATGGACTTAATTGTAAACTGCTTGTTTAGGGGAGGTCATTCCTGTATCTCTCTCTGTTCTCAGTGGTCCTCGTCCACGCATCCATGAGGCTCCGTAACCTGAAGAACAAGCTGGAGAACAAACTGGAGAGCATCGGTCTGAAGAGGACACCCATGGGGCTCCTGCTGGAGGCGCTGGGACAGGAACAGGAGGCGGGGTCCTAACAAGGAGAAGGAGGAGAACAGAATGTTTGATTCACGGATCACAAACCAGAAGGAACATTCCCAAACTTGAACGGATGAAATTATTGTACGTTTATTTTATTTAAATGTGTTTTAGGACAGAAGGAGGGGGGCCGTTTATAGGATCTTCTGCCAGTTGGATAATAATGAAGTAGAGCTCATCTAGTCCAATGAGTTTCCAACCTGTTCTCCAAACAACCCGAGGCTCCAGATCCGCTGTAGGTACCAGATCTGCTCGGGACCCCGACCCTTTCTTATGATGTCATCATATGGCAACCCCACTCGGACAAACTGTATTGCACCCATCTCTTAAAGAATCTGATCTTTTTTGAAGTCTCAACATATTATTACCCATATTTGCTGTTAATTTACATTTCATTGGCGATCTGTAGCCGGAAAACAATCATACTGAGTGTTGAAGGAAAGTGCTGCCTTCTAAGACAGACTGAGCTCTGCTATTTAACAAGGTGACACAAAAAGTCTCAGAGCTTCTTCTTTTACATTTTTATTAAGATCTGAGGGCAGAGGAGGACAAATGGAACATCTAGAAACGACAGATTTTAGACAAAGAAGAAAACGGTTATTCTACTTGTAGAAAATGAACAGCTGTAGTTGACAAGAATTTGAGAAAGTAGTTTAGCTTAATATGGCTAACTGTCGAGCTAAAAGAGGCTAACCTGTTAGCTACTGAGCACAGCTAGCCACAGCGCTGCCCAGATCTTTATATTATGGTCTAACAGTTTGTTCACCAGAAACATTTTTTCCGCTTTATGAATCTGGTAAAAAAAACATCGATAATTAAACACGCTAACGCTACAGCACATGGACGCTACATTGTTATCATTGCCTTAGCAACCACAGTGTTTCACGCCATGCGCTAACGTTCAGCCAATCATGTAGCATAATGCTGCGTTTAGACCGCACGCTGCACAGGCAGCAGGTTTACATTCTACTGTATGTCAATGGTTGACGCGCATCCAGGAGCATTAAAAGGTCCCGCAGCGCGTTTAGAGCAGCAGGAGCAGCGCCTCACAAGCTTCTGAGTATCTGAGGTTTGTGACGCGCTTCAGGAGCTGCTGCAGTTGGAAAAATGTAACTTTAGCTGCTTGATGCGCCTCATCAACCAATCAGAGCAGCTGATCTGGGAGCTGGCAGGGAGTCAGACACAGCACTGCTGTTGCAGAGCGCTATGATCACTCCTCTGAAACAGTTTAACGCCTAAATTAACTTAGAATGTAGAAACCTGTTCGCAGAATGTGTTCGATTTTATTATTTTGGTGCCTGCAGTTTGGATTACGTACATGAAAAATGCTAACATCTACTTCCAGCCGCCACCAACAGAAGGGGAAAACCCCCAAGATGTGAGCGGACCTGACCCACTTTTCCCACCGTGCAGCTAGAGCAGCAAAGATGCTTCAGCCGCACATCAGAACTAAACTTGTAGAAGCATTTAAAATGAAGCAGCATGCGCGTTTGTGCTGCTTCTGCTGCGTAGCATAACGTCACTGGCATGAAGAACAGCCCTAACAGACCTGGTACCTACAGCAGTTCAGAGATGCTGCATCTCATTTACATGAACATGGTGGAAATCTGCCCTTCTGGAAGATCTTCTGTATCCATGGTGATTATCTTTTCTGATTTGGGCTATGAATTCAGATCTGAGATCAGTGACTGATTGAGAAAAGTCCCTTAGCTATGCTAATCTGAAAGGTCAGAAATAATCAACTCTAGAAATGCTTTGATAAACTTCATCTGTTGGTGAAGATGGTTCCTTTAATCTTAAACTTTTTCTATGTCTGTCTATTTTTCTTTTCTTTCTTTTTTTTACTAATCGATTAATAATGGGATAGCCAAATTCACATAATTAAACCCTGTGAAAATAAATTAATTTAACTTTGAGGAGTTCTGGATAGAGCAGATTGACAGACGGAAAAGTTTTAAATGCAAAATGTTTGATACACTTTTCTTAAAAATGGATTAAGTGGTTTTTTTAACTTTTGAGCCCAATGTTAGCTTAATTTCAGATATTAAATGTATTTTCTAGTTTAATATTCATCTCTTGCTGCATAACGATGCTCCTGTTCTTTTCGAAATGTCTCCTCTGTGACCTCAGAGGGTCGATCCGTCCCTGAATGGGTCATATGACCCAGAGCTAACTAAGCTAACAGCTGTTAGCTCATCAGACATGTTTCTGGTTCCCTGATGGAGGATTCCATCCAGAAAGGGAATGTTTCATCATCTTTACCAGGAACTCCAGGATTCTAGATCTCCTGGTCCAAACTGGTCTGATACCAGAACCAGAACACAGACTGGTTCATTTAGTTAGAGGCTAAAAGGCAGTGCTGCTTTAAAATGTTTCTTGCAGTACGTCAAAAAAGGAGAGCAGGTTGGGCCCCCCCTACTATCCTAATGGGCTGGGGGACTACTGCTGCTTTAATCCCTGAAATCATCAGTTTAAATTGGTAATCCAGCTCTAAACGTGGATCCAGCTCAAGTTGAGGAATTTTTACCATTATAACACTAAAACCCGTAACTTGATGATTTTGTATGATTATGTGCTTTTACATTCAGGTTGAGGAGTCGTTATGTGGAAATCTTACTATTTGAAATGTGTGTGTTTTTGTTGGGCTGTTGATACAACCTGCCACAGAATGTCAAAGTGTCTCTTAGTTTAAACCATAAAATCCCACAGGAGGGCGCTCTCTGCAGAGAATGGCTTTGGTCCTCCTGCTTTTCATGCTAACATTAGCCCACCTGTCCATCTGTACTCCCGTCTCTATTCCACCTATCAGGGTCCCACCTGCAGGTAGTCGCAGGAAGCCATGGTTGTCACTACCCGATCCGAACAGGAACCACGATCCGTACCATCAGCGCATTTCCGCATGTGCAAGCAGATATTCTTCAAGGTCACCAAAAATAATGTTATTATGGTACTAAAAGTATTTATTTATACCCTTAAATCACAAAAAAATGCTGATGCACATTGTTAAAACATTTTATTACTTTTCTGAGACACTTTAATGTTTTTTACATTTTCGACATTTAACGGCTTGTCTGATGTCATCATGGGACATCCTCAGAGCAGTCCGGCTGTTGGGTTCATAAATGTAGGTTTGCAAAAGAAGAACTGAAATACACAGTAATGGATACAATTTCTGC